TCGTTTAGTCTGTTTATATACATATATTCCTTCCTTTCCTGCCAATGTCGACTCTATTTCTTTGCTGATACCCGAACAGTTATAAAATTTTAACGCCCATATTTTAGTCAACAGCTCCACGTAATCATTCATCTTTACCAGCTCAAAGTGACACCCCCGGAACACCAATCTCTTTAATGAACCGCGATAGTTCTTTAAGGCATCCAGTAACAATTCTAATCCGCCTGTCGCAATCATGGTCACACTTTCCAGTGACTTCATAGATAAGATAATGTCGGACAAGAGCGACAAATCGCTCGTTTTATTACTCGTGAAACGCTCAATGGTTAATTTTCGTAGTTTTTGATCATGTTTTGTAAGTTGAGGGAAACAAAAGTGACGAAAGGGATGATCGGGTATTCCAGCAGAGATACGTAAGTGAATTGTGCTGGAATGATTGATTATGGAAGATATCAGAACGCTGGAAATATGCCTCCTGTCGTCTCTTGGTGGAGGCTGGTGGTCTACCCAGTCAGCTACCGCTTTATATACTATTTGTATGTCTAATTCTGTAATGTACGTCAAGTAGGGTATTAATGTCCCCTTATCCAGTTCTTTCAATTCGATTCTTGACAAGCTATTTCTCTCTTCTTTATTCAAACTGTGGAGCAATGTTCTAACCAGCTTGACTCGCTTTTTGTGTGTCGCTCTATTGAATACATTCCGATACAATATGCGAACGATTACACAGCAAAGTTTACTATTAAGTATTAAACAAGAGTGGAGCGATCTAGTGTCTTTGTAGAGCATGTTGAATATCAAGAGCAGGATTTCAACTGGGAGTTCGGAGAGAGATTTAGAGAATGGGAAACTTCCCTCCCGGCAGGAACTACGACGTATGAAAGAAGCTAACCGGTTAAACAGTATATAGGGTAGCATGATAAGGGCAGCTACCGGGACGTGCTTGAGCGTAAGAATTTTTTGGCAGACGAATGAGTATAAGTAGGAAAGATCACATCTCTGTTAACTGTCAACGGTTACACTAAAAAGTACGCCATCAATAATAGACATTGTAATGATATCCATAACATAAATAGTAAGTACACATACACAGCCAAACCAAAAGATTACAATTATTCAGCAAACTCTATCCTCTTTATAGCAACGATAACATATGATTACGAAAAAGAATATCATTATGCAAATAAACGATCTACCTTTAAAAACCGTCTAGCATCGATTATTGTCACTTTTTTTCGTAAGGAGCGTACTGTTGATACAGTATGTGCATCACGACCAAAAACCTGCGCGCGTGGATACAACAAAATCGTCGATTTCTAATATCAGTGCAAAGTGATCTATAAATTGTTGGGTAGAGCTTGCATGATCCACGTATATAACGCGGCTTCTACTTGCAGTATGACTATTAATTCTATTAAACTCGTTTGACCATGAGTCGAACCACTTCTTATTTTCCCAGATATTCTGGTTAACGCCATATTTTTGGAAAGTGAATGTTATCTATTATTATTATTATTGGACACGGATGGAGGTCACACAAAAGTGTTTGCATAAAAATAACTAGTAATAGTTGAAAATCAGTATATCAACCCAAAAAAAAAGCACAGAAAATCAGGGGTCATTCCATGTGTGCCGCAATAAAGACCTCAACCCAAAAGAAATATGACCCGTCCTTCAAGACCCATCGATTTTATCTACAAGATCAAAATATTTGTCCAACACATGTGTTCTGCAAATCCGTAAATGCCTGGGCCGTGTGAACCTGAATTTCTCGATACCAGCATACTCTGTCATTCATTTATTTAAAAGTTGTTTAGTAATTAACAGAAACGTTTCCTTAGGAGAGTAAGCAATCATTTTCTATATTGCGGAAAATATCACTTATAATACCGCGAAAGGTATAGCTTGTATTACTCCATATTCGACTAATTAGAAAACGAATTCTTTAACGCAATGTCTTTTGGTCTTT